ATATGGCTGCGGCGACTATCAAGATGCTGATGGTGGTGTTGACATGGAAGACCAGCTGCAAAGGTGGTTGAGACGATTGAAAGTGGGGCAAACGGCCTGGACAGTTGACTCGACCAACAGCTAGTCGAGTAGTATAAGCGCGCGCGCGCTTGCGTTTCCAACACGTCCGACGCGACGCGCGACGCGCATCGCGACTTGCGCGTCAATTTAAAACTGCCTTTCGCGCGAGAGACGGACCCCTCGAACGACGAGAACTCGAGACTGCTGGTGAGTTGCACGACTCGTGACTTAGGACCCTCTATCCGCCAGCATTCAGCGTGCGTGCAACGTGCCTCCACAGCATGCCGCGCTGCTGTGTAAAGCACCCCGCTCGGCCATTTCTTTCTATGCGACCCGTACACAACGCGGGTCTGGCGCAGACTCTGACTCTGTCTGTACTCATACTTCGCGCTCTGCGACTCCGACGCATCGTTCGGTCGATGCACGTACCGTACCGTCCAGCTGCCGTGAAGGCGTGAGGACTCGAACCCACACCCCAACACTCTCATGCTTTCACACAAGGGAGGAAAGAAGCGAGGATCGGTCAAGACATCGCATCTCGCCTATCCAGGCACCTAGCTCCCAGCGAGAAGTCAGGAGCCTCTGCGATAAACACACGGGCAGCGTGTGCGACTCGAAAACACAAACTTGGACCGCCGAGGATGACCAGCACGGCTTGGGCTCAGGCGATCTCCGATCCCTCTGGAGGAGTGCGGGTACGTACAAGACGTCATGGCGACTTGGCGCAATCGAGCAGGGATGGCGCTCTTCCAGACTCTATCGCTTCGTCCATGAGCGGTCAGGGCAGGAAGAGCAGCGAGCTGGGCGCCTACCCGCTGTATAAAGCGCCTGCAAAGAAAACCAAGGACGAAGAAGAGCCCTACATGGTCTGGGTCAGGCGCACAGCCTACATCGCCTTCTTGGGGAATGCGCCACCGCTGCTTGCTTTCCTCGGCGTAGCCATCATGACTTTGGCGGCGGATGCGGTCATGACGCTGATCATCATCAAACGAGTGCCGTGTGAGTGATGAAGCTGCGACAGGCACTTGGATCACGCCGGTCGGTGCTTACACTACCTTTTCAGACACGGAAATCGACTTCACCACGTATCTCGAGCAAGCGCAAGGAATGCTGAAAGGGGAGCGCGATTACAGCCGATTACGAGGAGCGAGCGGGCCATGCGTGTGAGTTCGCGAATGAGTGCCCATGCAGTGTGTATGCGCGCCCTTCCGAGAGCGAAACCGAGCTGGGATGGTCGGACGGCATGCGTATGAAATCTGACAATCCATCCTGCCTACAGGTACCCAGCCTTGCACCTGTACCTCCACGCTCCTCTGGTGCAACTTACTCATGCGGGCGCCAAGCTGATGCCAGCTCAAGCTCTGTATGGGGCGCTCTATCTCCTCAATCAAGCATTGGTCATGTCCCTCTACAGGTCGGCCGGCTCGCCAAGCATCCTGCTGCCAGCATTGATAATATCGAAACGGCTTCATTCGATCTATGTCCTCAGGATGTTCAATGACTGCTGGACCAGTTTACTGCTGCACGCTTCGATGGTCTTCTTGGTAAGGAGGCGCTGGACAGCTGCGACGACGCTTTGGTCGTGAGTTGATCGCGCGAGCACAGGATCGAGTTGGCCTTTCTTCTTGCGCACATCTGACGCTCCCACTGTTCCTTCCTGCTGCCTAGGCTGGCTTTGGGTGTCAAAATGAGCGTACTTCTGACCCTGCCTGCCCTCGGAGTCATTCTATTCCGAGGAGTGGGCATGCTACAATCACTGAGACTCGGATTTCTGGCGCTTCTGGTGCAGGTCCTGTTGGGTCTTCCATTCATCCTCAAGCATCCACACGCGTACTTTGCCGGAGCTTTCGACTTTTCAAGGGCTTTCTTGTACAAGTGGACGGTCCACCTCCGCTTTCTGGCCATCGAGCAATTTCAATCCGCCTGGACTTCGAGGGTGCTCTTGTTTGCGCATGCAGGGTTATTGCTGCTCTGGATCACAACGCGGTGGACAAGGGTCGGAGAAGAGGGTGTCTCGTGGGTCTTGAAGCGGTGGCACGGCCCGCCGGGCGGTGGGGATCCAAGCGCTCGCTGTAAGTATTGGTGCCAATATCTCCCGCAACGGTCACCTCTGCAACTGATCCAACTCTCTTTGCCATCTCAAGTCATGATATTTTCAATCTTCACAGCAAATCTGATTGGCATGACCTTTGCGCGATCGCTGCACTACCAGTTCTACTCCTGGTACGCACAGCACATTCCTTTGATGTGTTGGGCCGCGGCAGTGAAAATCGACTTTGGAAAGAAAGGTCTACCTCTAGGCATCAGGTGCGTCTATGCGCGACGCCCTGCCCTTCCACTGGGGTCGACCATCGCCCGGGCTGATTGCAGTCTCTGCACTTGATTACGCTGGCACAGGCTCGCACTTCCCGTCCTCATCGAAAGGTCGTGGAACATCTTTCCCTCCACGCCAAGTAGCTCGGCTGTGCTTTGGCTAGCACACTTGACACTGCTGTGGGGGTTGTGGAGAGCGGATCCGACGAATGAAGCGCAACCATGACAAAATGACGTCACGCAACGTGGTGTCCAGACCGAGGTACACCGTTTACCGTTTGCAGACGGCGTACCGAAAGTCGACCTGCTTCTGTAGAGTGTCAAAGACGCCACACTGGGCAAAGCATCCTGCATCATGTCTACTGGTTGTATTCAGAAGTCGGAGTGCGAGGGCGAGCATGAGCCTACAACCGCTGAAGCGACGACTTGCGAGGCCTCTTGCAATCGGCGCTCTAGATGCCTGTGAAGCTGAATTAAGGCTAGAAGTGACGATGCCTGGCGCACTCGTCAAGCGCTAGCGCCAGCGCCACCCCTGTTACTCGGGCTAGCGGTGCGGTTCGTTGTGCTTGCCGCTTGCGCCGTGCGCCTATTGGGCGTGCGGAGCTGGAATAAGCGTGCAGATGTGCCAGTGTAGATGCCACTGTAACCCAAGAGCAGGGTTGAGAATCAATAAGCTTGCGCGCGCGCGGAGAGGGATTGGCAGGTTCGAGAAGGGCCGCTCTCACTATGGCAATTGGGCAGAGACATACACCAGGCCCCACAAATAAGAAAGGATCCATATCCTAGCTTGCTCGTTCCATTTGAAAGGCCGCAAATCTGTGAACATCCAGACCGTCAAAGGAGAAAGCGAAAAGGCTCGATGCTCAGGCTCAAGGAGATCGTCGAGAAGCACAGCCGCTACTCCCCAATCTGACTCACACACTGGCGGTTTTTGGGGCAATACGCGATCCAAGTCCACTTCTCGAATCCATGCGCAGACCCTAGAGTCTGCATCGGACTTGCCGCGTATCTGGTCGCTCTTGACCAATTCGTTGAGCTTAGGCAGCACTTCTCCAAGGAGGATCTGCAGAGAATCCAATGGGAGGCCCTTTTGCCACGATGCGATCCAAGGCTGGGTAGGCACAAAGCCATTCCTGCCGATATTTTCCGCTGCCAATTGCAGTTCCGCATCGGTCAAGGATTCTGCCCAGACCTCTGCCTCGTCGCGCGTCGCTGGGAATTCGGACGAAGCGTGCGGAGCGGACGCATTTGACGATACGCCCGTCCCCGTGTCTTCCTGCAAGCTGATGCTCTCTTGCTCTCTCATCTTGCCTCGCGCCTTCTCAGAGCGCACCCCTCCTGGCTGCGCGACGCCTTCGTCGAGTGTAAGCTGTGCGAGTCGACTCGATTCCTCCTCGTCCCTGTGCAACATCCTCGCCTTTTCTTCGTCGCCAGGCGGGGCGTTGGAGGCCGTTGGAGCTGTGACTGTCGCTTCAGCAGTGGCGCCAGGAGCAGCAGCAGCAGCCAAAGGGTCCTTTGCATCCGCTCCCAGAGCTCGAGGGCTCAAGAACGGCGCGCTTGGACTGTGCGAGGGCACAGGAGTCGTAGTGCCCGAATTTGGTGCGACAGGAAGCTGTCCAATCCTTGCGCCAATATTCGCAAAGGCGCTATCCGCCCGCATTCTGTTCCTTCTGATCTCCGCAACTCCCTTGCGCAGCGTAAACGTGACGAGCCTGTAGACGCTCTTGTGATTTCGCAGCAAGGCATAGATGAGATTCGCATTCTGTTTTGGGTGGTGATGAATGACGCCATTGATGGTTTCCAGCAAGAAAAAGACGAGGCGGGGGTGCGATTCGTCTGCGAGCAAAAAGCTCGGGGCAGAGAAGCTGCTGAGGAGGCTGACTAGACGTTGGGAGCTAAGCACGGTGATGTTCGTCCATGCCGGAGCAGTGTTGGCCAGGCTGATGACCAGAGGGGCGTATAGCGTTGACAGACTGCCCTTGGTCGTAGCCATGAGCGAGTAAGTTGCTTGTATCAAAACGTCTGCTGCTGATCCAGCTCCATCTCCACCCGCTCCGCCTCCCGCGTTGGATCCGCCAGCAGTGATGCCCCACTTATGCCCACCAGGTATCTTGGCCCTGTTCGCTGATCCCGCAGCACTGATATGAGCAGCAAAAGCAGGCGTGGAACTGATGTCTTGCAGGACAAAGACGCACAATCGAACCAATCCTTGCTGAGCTGCTGAATCCTTGTTGTGCAATGCATGGAAAAGCAGTCGAGACAGCAATAGAGGCGCTCGAACCGGATCATCCAGGAGAAAGAGTCTGAAACGAGGATTCAGAGTCATTAGTCGCCATAGGAGCAGCAGCGCTTCGGGCATGTGCGCGCCTGGACCCGTGTCTCCTGCGGAGCCCGTGGTGAGGGCTGGTGCGGCAGCGGAAGCCAAAGGCAGGATGCCCATCGAGTTGATCTTTGCGCTCAGCATCTCGAACATGCCAGCACTTAGCAGCACAAAGTCGGAGTGTCGATGCATCTTGGAAAGGTAGAAGCGAAAAGCATTGGTGTGCGATGCTTGAGCTTGCGATGTGTTCTTGGGACCATCAGATGAGGTGGAGGCGATGGAACTCGTGGAGGAATGAGCTGTCAAAGAAGGTCTTTGATGCGATTGAGAATTTGAGGCAGAGCTGTTGGGCGCGTCTTTGATGTTGGGGACGTAGCCAAGGATGACGTCCAAGGTTTGAAGACAAAGCCCTACCAAGGCAGCTCGATTTTCCTGCACGCCCGCTGTGCCGCTCAGTCTGTCCTTGACAAGGCCTCCAGGAATGGCTGCCAGACTACCAAGACCACCTAGCCAGCCCGAATCTGCAGCGTGCTTGACCGCGGTGTTGAGCAAGCTGCAGAGCAAAGGCAGCACGACGCTCCTGTCCAGCTTGCAAGAAGTGTACTCCAAAGCAGCATCAAGCAGGTCGGCCTGATTTGCAGCAGAGACGTAGATGGATCTGCTGAGCAGGACCAGCAACAACCTCATCAGCTCGACGCGAGCAGATTCGTGCGCTCGAGTAGCTCCTGCTAGCTCGATGGAACTGCCGACTCCCTGTTCCCAGATTGCGTAGTGCACGCGAGACTCCCTTGCGGGCGTGTTGTGAGGAAGACTAAGCTGTTCGGGCGTCCAAGGAATAGTGAAGCCGGAGTAGAAGAGCAAATCGATGACGAGGCTTAGTAATCGTTCAATCAGCAAAGGTTCCGTCGCGTCTTTCCTTTCATCGTCATCGTCATCGAGATCGCGTGTCGAGCTGTCGGCTCTGGTCTGCTTCGAAGCTTGCACTTTAGCAGCGTGTGCGCTCAATGGATCTTGCTCTGCGCTGCCATTGGCGATTTCCGTCGTTGCAGTTGCATCTTCATCCTGCTCTCGCTGCTGCTGCTGCTGCTCCTCCTCCTCCTCGTCATCATCATCGATGACGAACTGATCTTCGCTTGACTGTCCTTGGGTTGTTGCCGATGACGCATTGTGCGACGATGGATGGCTTCTGGGTGTCAAGACTTCGCCTAGCGGAGGCAACTCATCCGCTCTCAACTTGCTGAAAAAGAGTCTTTTCTGAAATTCATCAGTATTGAGGCTGGCGCGCGTCGAATTGTTGACCGCGCCTTCCGACGTGGATTGGGTGTCGAGGTTGGGATTGTGATTGATGTTGCCATCGCCATCGCCAGCACCAGCACCAGCACCATCGCCATTGCCCTCTCCCTCTGCTGAAGCGTTGCAAGTGAGATCGTGATCTCCCTCCAAGATGACGGGAATGATTCTCGTCAATATTCTCAAGCAATTCAAACATTCCTTGTGCCTGTCCCGCCTCTGCGCCGCGCTCCCATCACCATCATGGGCGCCTGCTGCTCCTCTCGTCGCACCCGCACCCGCACCTGCACTTATCCAGCCAAGAGGTCCGCCGCTGCTTGCATTCTTGGCGGCTGCAACAGGTCTGGGACAAAAGTGTTCATCGTGCACAAGCGCTTCGAGATGAGCGATCAAGAGACGGATCAACAGATCAACCCTTTGCGGTCTCTTGATCAGCGCTCTCCTCACATCCGAAACGCTCAAAAGTGCAAACACTTCAGCTGCGCTGTTGAATGTGGTGAGGTAGCGAGCTATGTCGTAGGCTTCCAAGAGACGCCCAACGTCTGGCGGAGCATCTAGACGAAGGTAAGAGCGAACGGATGAGGGAACGAAGGCAATCATCGTCGCTGCTGTGCTGTGATGTGCTGTGCTGTGCTGTGCTGTGCTGTGCTTTGCGATCAAGCGCTTTGTGGGCTCCATCGACTGTTCTATGAAGCCGAGCGTGCGTGGGGAGTGAGTGAGAGAGAGGGGAAGGGGGGTGTCTGCGATGAGCTTGGTCTAAGCAAGTGGAGTGAATCTCGCAGCTACGAGTGATTGGCATTCACAATGAGTGAATCATGAATCACAAAGTCTGAATTCAGATTGGCGAGGGGCCATGTGATGTGGTCGCAGTCAAGGCGCAATTCGCGTCCATTGTGATTGTATTCACGAGTCGCTTGCAAGCGCCCGCGCTCACAAAGGCGGGCGGGCCAGGGCTGAGATGCAGCTCACGATCGAGAGGTGAGTTTACAACGCAGGCACGCCGCAACCACAATTAAACGCGCACCACATGCTGACCGCGAACGCTGCATGCCGATGCAGCAGCACAGACAAGTGCGACTCATGCACAAGCGAAGCGACAGGCGGGCGCGATGACGCACGGACCACGGACCATTCATTTGACTGACGTCTCCTCACATTTCTACTGTACGCATTGCATTCAAATTCACATTTCCAATTCGGATTCACGATGATTCCTGTCTCGATGCGAATTGTGCAGTCAGGATTAGAGTAGTGCGTCGTTCAGCAGGGCTTACAGCTCGTGGGCACACTCTTCAACTATTCAGCTCATCAATCTCTATAGAAGACATCGAATGCGCCTCCAATCACAAATCCGGCTGGAATCGAGGAAAGGATGTTGGGTGTGAGGAGGTTCAAAGGTTGAACGGGACCGCTTGGGCTGCGCGCGTGACCGGATGCGCTTCGCTGCTGATCGTCCGAATCAAGAATCAAATGCTTATTTGATTGCACCAGGTGGAGGTTCATCGGTCACAACTGCTGGGTGGATGGATGGATGACCCGAGTTGCGTTCATTTGAATCAAGCGCATCGCGCGCGTGCCATGTGGGGCCTGCTGCTGGCGGCTGATGGTGTGGCTGCAGCGGTGAAGCAAGAGGCACATGCAGGTATGTGCACTAACAACGCACTCAGCTTCGTGCGTCGTGGAGAAATGAAGACTCACGAATGTGTGTAATAATGAGTATTCACTTTGGCTGACTAAACATGAAATCACTCGCTTGATTCCGCACCACCACCACCACCACCACCATCGTCATCATCATCTCAAGCCTGCACTCGCCTCTTTTGCTGAAACACTTTTCCATCGCTGCGTCACTTAGCACTATAGCAACGCGCAAGCAAGCATTCGTCCCCACAATGCTGCTACCCATTCTGGGCCTCTTGACTCTCATCTTTGCAGTCGGCTTTCAACTCGTCTTGAGCCCTTTGCTGGCCAACTTGGGAATCATCAAACGACAAGTGGAGAGTGTGAATAATGCAAGATGTCGAAAGATTGATGGTGAGCCAGCGAGCGAGCGAGCGAGCGAGCAAGCAAGCAGGTGGCCGAGCATGCTTTGGGTGGTAGAAGCTGCGATGGCCCGTCGCTCCAACGCTACCAAACCCAATGCAACAAAGATGTTACATATCTGGGGGCTTTCCATCTTCGATCTTTGCTTTCGCTCATCGTTCATGGCTTACCTTGCCCTTCTTCTGCCACGTACCGCGCTATTAATGCCGATGACGTCATCGACAGCTCTCCAAGCTTGCGAGCGTGAGTCACGAGTTCAATTCTTTGCGGCGCTGCAGTAAATGTAAATGTAGAGAGGCTGTTTGAAATCCTCTTTCTCACACACAAATCTCGTTTGCGCTTTGGAAAAAATCCACTGGATTACGTCATTTACGCTGTTTTACAATCGGATGAGCAGACACGTGGTTGCACGAGCCAAGCGGCTTGCTGTACGCCGCCTGCTCGGATCCTGTCAAGAGGAGTTATTGGACACCCGCGTGAGTATGGCTTAAATCGCGCAAGGTCGAAATCGCAGCCACAGTTCTGGGACTCAACCTCTGCGCGAGAATTCGCCTAACGACCCCCTTGCACAGCAACAACAAGCGCGAAGTGAAAGAACGGCCGCGAAACGACTATCTGGCGATATACGACACGAATGCCGGCACGACTCGAAAAGTGTCGCTGGTCGACTTTGCTTTGGCGGGCAATGATGGGAAGGCAGAGATCAATGTTCACGGATTCGACATTCATGTGGGCGAGCAGAGTGCAGATGGTGCGCCAAGGCTGGACATTTTTATGATCAACCACCGACCACCTCTGGGCGAAGGAGGGATGGAACTGGATGCGAACAAGGTGGGTGCCAACTCCACCATTGAGCATTTCACTTCGAATCTTGGAGCAGGTGAGGCGCAATACGTCAAGACTTACTTTGACGAAGAGATCATCACTACGCCCAACTCGGTCGTAGCGACATCTTCCAACAGCTTCTTGTTCACAAACGATCACGGCATCGACAAGGCTTCGCCCTTGCGCCTCTTGAATCCCTTTGTGCCGCTGTCCAACATTGGCTATTGCAATGCGCGTAGAGGATGCAAAGAGGCCTACTCTCCACTCACCTTTGCAAACGGAATCACGAGAGGCACAGCGCAAGATCAGTATTGGGTAGCATCTAGCGCTGATGGACTTTTCAAATCCTTCGAGTTGCAAGCGGACGGATCTTTGGTGCTGGGCGATTCGGTCAAGGTGGGCATGTCGGTGGACAATCTTTCGACGGACAGCAAAGGTTCCATTTGGGCCGCTGGCCTGACCAAAGCTCTTCAATCCGTGCACTACATGAACGAATTTGGAGCAATCAAAAGCAGCCATAGCGATGCTGCTGCTGCTGCTGCTGCCAAAGCTCCATCGACGGGGTGGAAATTGAGCTTGAATGATGGGAAAGATGCATTGTTTGGACAGAAGTGGAGGGTGGAGAAAAAGTTCGAGGATGATGGGAGTGTGGCGCCGGCTCTCACTATGGTCGTGCACGACGCTGCAAGGAACAAGCTCTTCCTTTCCGGTCTATCCACCCCCTTTATTCTTTCTTGCGACATCTACGAATGAGCATCCAGGCGGCCAAGCGTGGCGTGGTCGGGACCTTTGGGTGCAGTGCGGATTTCACAAAAGGGAGCGGGGGAATGCCGTGAACAAGGCGGTGGACGCGGCGAGGGACAAAAAAAAAGGGCCGCACCTACGGTGATCATCAGTCGATGCAGACAGCACGCAATACCATGACAGCTTCATGTAGCAAGCTCCAATCATCCCTTTGCCGTAATGTTGCAGCGTTGGTAGAAGGGGACAGGATAAAGTCACGATCATCGCCAAGTTCGTCGTTTAGAGCGTCAAAGGACTTGCTGCTCGACTTGGTGCGGCGCGCGCGCTCGACCAGAAATTTCTCGAGTCCATGGTCCACATGTGATAGCGTTGGGGGGGATGAGCAGCAATTGTGCACATCCATCAATCGTCGTGCCGTCAATCAGAGCAAACCACCATGAGAAAGACGAGGCCTACACACACGTCATATGATCCGAATGCCAGCATCGTCTCACTCCTTGTTATTTCTCCTTAGCGTTCGTTTGTACACGCTGTCACAGCACTTCACAGAACGCATGGCATTGCATCACGAAAGTGAGGGGCCAAGGCTGGTCGTGAGTCGTGTACGGAATGACTCGTGATCGTAATACAAACCGTTCGGGCAGGAGGGAGAACGAAATGGGCTGCTGAAATAATTTACGACAACATTGAAGGAAGAGGGAGGTTCAAGGCAGGTCGCGCAACGTGTCGAGCACACACACGCAAAAGGATCTCGGCGCCCCCGCTTCCTGATCAATGTTATTCATCCTTCGGCTTATTTTCCAGCTGCGACGCCGAAGGAGTTGAAGCCGAGCTTCCACTGCTCATGTTCTCGATGACCTCTGCTCGCTCGTAAGAAGCTTTGACAGCACCTGCCGGAGTCTCTGCTTCTTGAGGATCGGGTGCTGTAGCCAATTGACGAGAAACCTGCTCGTCTTGTGAATTCTGTTCGTCCTGGCTCAGACTCTGATACTCGGGACTCTTTTGACGAGCAAGAGCAGCGCTGCTGCTGCCATCGCTACCCGTGGCCGAAGTGCTTGCTTCGATTGCAGTCTGACGCTGATGGGCTTGGTTGCTCGCCTCCCTACTCAGCGCCGGTGCGGTGGGTGTAGGTGTCTCATTGATTGGGGCCAAAGTAGGAGCAAGGCCGTACCCTTGGTCCTGATACGTAGCATACTGCGAACCAGCCGATCCCAAATCCTCGTGCGCGCCGTCGTTGCCCGACAGCACACCCTGCTTTTCATCCATGCCCTTGTTCATACGTCCGACCGCGCTACTCTGAGTGTATGTGCTGGTGACTGGGATGGACGGGTGCATTCGCAGACTACCAGTGCCGCTTCGCATCTGCATCGGATCATCCTGGCTACCGCTGTACAGTGGGTTGTTGTCTTCCTCCTCAATCTCTCCAGGTAGCAGCACGGCTCGATCGATGGCGACTGGAAGTCCGCGGTGCCTGCCTCTGAGCATGACGGCGCAGACGACCAATTTGGAAAGGGTGCGGAAACGTCCCGAAAGGCTAAAGTTGTCGACAGGAGTGCCTGTGCTTAGACCGACCGTTCCATAAGCGCTGGTGAGTTCAAAGAGGCAGGAAAAAATGGTGAACCATCCATTGGTGTTGCTGTCCTCGATTTGAGTCCTCTCGATGATGCAAACGAGCCAAAGAGAGAATCCAAGCCACCACATGTCGAAGGCGAGTTGTCTTCGAGCGTGCGCAGCGAGGTATGTACCCCAAACACGCGCGCCACCCGTAGTAGGCTCCTCGTCACCAAATTCAGAGGTCTGGTCGTCCTCGTAAACGCCGAGAGCGCGCTCCTCGTACACGTTTGTGTTGCGCACCGACATTGCGATGGGATAGGCCGAAATGTACATCATGACGACGTACAGGTATTGGACCGAGGGAGCTAGCGAAAGCAGGCTGACGACTTGAAAACCGGCAGCACGCACGGCGATGGATTGAAACAGACCATCGAACACTGCAACGTTCGCGGCGATGACGGGAGATGCCTTCAGTACGGCGTGTACTTATCCTTGAAATACCATCTGCACTCACCTCGCTGTCCAACAGGGATCGCCTTGATGATTGGATTGCCAAGATCGAGTACGAGGAACGCCACCCAATCGGTGCAGCTGAGTCACGGAACAGTCCGCATTAGTCTTGCGTCTTTGGCGCATTGCGTGCAATGTGCGAAGAATGACTCACTTGAGGACAACCAGGACAAACAGAAGAAACCAAGTCTGGGCAGACGGAAAGAGATAGACAAAGCATCTTCGAGGGTGATCCAACAGGAATCGGAGAGTTTCGTAAGTGCGACCCGTGGACGGTACGATCCGTGAGAGAAACCAAATCATGAATCGAAAGAGGATTGGAAAGCCAGTATTGCCGGCAATAATGAGGGTCCCGAGAGGGATCAGCATAAAGTACTGATCGGCCATGTTGATCATGCTCGTGTCGATAAGAGACATGCCCGTATTGCTAAATGCAGAGACCACATTGAAAAACCAAAACCATGTGGAATCCGGCTCGTGCGGCGCTTGCGTCTCCCTGACTTGGTAGAACTTTGCCGCAGCGCTTCGAGATGCCAGCCAAGGCGCGACCATCACGATGAAGAGAAAGACGACGAACAACCAGTAGGCTGGGACCAGAGTGCAGAGCATGTCGATAGCTCTATACTCGATACCCCCCAGCTCCTCGCGCTGATGCTCGCTGAGCTCCAAGAAGCGGGAGTTCCGACTGACCGTAGCGTCGAAGCTTAGGTAAGGCGCACTTCGGCCATTGGTCGTATCCGCTCCACCGGAATGTGTAGAAGCAAAAGTCGATGTGCGTGGCATGGTCATGCTGCGCGTAAACTGGCGATTCAGTTTAGGAGCCATGCGTTTCAGGGCCATGCCAGCAAGCTCGACAGGGGTAGGGAACCCTCCAAAGCCACGCTCTTTGGATGTGGTAGGAGTTCGCGTCAGCGTGACGCCCGTGGCACTCCTGCGAGTGTACGAGCGCGCCGAGTACGCTGTTGGCGCTGTTGGCGGCAAGCAATCGTCAGCAGCCAATCTTGCGAATCAATGAACACGGCAAGCTACTCACTGCGTTCGAAGTCAAGATTCGTGTTGCGATGGCGAAGACCATCTCGTCCCGCAACGCCGGTGCTGGACCTCTCCGCCGGGGTCATCCTCGGTGGAGGCTCAGCAAACTCCACAGTCTGGCTTCGAGGGAAGTTGAATGCCGGTGGTCTCAGGCCACCAGCCGCCAAAGCGCCGTCCGATCCTCGGCGCATATGATGCTGAGCGGGTGGATCAGACAAGCGACGAGAGCGCTGGTCTGCGGTGCTGTCAAAACGTGCGCGGAACGGGTCGGCAGTGTGAGGAGCTTGTGCGGGTAAATCGCTCTGATTCGCGCCGCCCAAGGGCGGATCGCTGCCTCCAGAAAAAGTGGTGCGCCGAGCGGGGGCGCTGCTTGGAAATGCGGTCTCTGTCTGCTCCACGGGACTGTCGTGCACCGGCAAGCCTCGCAAGAAGCGATTTGGCTCAGCGATGCGCACGCTACCTGTAGGGCCCGCCGAGGGCCCGGCAATCGGTGTCTCGTCCATTGGTGCCAGGATGCCTCGAGGTGCCTCTGTTGCGACGGACGGACGAGATGCCACGCGCTCCTCCGAGCCCGAGCGAGGGTGTGCAGTGGATGGCATGCCCATCGGGTTGACGAGGACTGCAGGCTGATCCGTTCGTCTAATCATGTCCGAAGTGAGCGGCCCCTTGCGTTTGGTCGAGTGTTTTCGCGGTTCCGGAGCATGCCCGCTCTCATCCGTGCTCTGTCTCGACCCGTCGCTATCGATTGCCCCGCCCTTCATCATGCGGCGCAAACGATGCATCCGTCCCCCTTCACGTCTGTCTGCCTCCTCGACATCGCGGACCTTCTTTCTCGCAGCCGCATTCTTCGCTACGAGATCCTCGAATCTTCTGCGAAAGAAGCGCCTTCGGGTCCATACCATCGTCACGCTAACAGCGACGACGTTGCCCACGCACATCAGCACGAACAGGATAGCTTGTTGGAAGCCTGTCGCCGTGCTGATGTTGATCGTCGTCAGACCAGTGACTGTGACGGCACTGACGCAGAGGAATAGAGCATCAATGTACTTGATGTGAACATCTTGATTAGCGGCGTAGAAGATGGCGGAAGCGATGAGAGGCGTGAGGACGAAGAAGGTTACGTGAATGCGCTGCGAGAGGGTGTGTGATGAGCGTCAGCGCTCGCACAGATGCAACACTAGATCGCAGGCTGACACGGGCTGGCACAACTTGGCCAGCGTCTGCTCCCAACTCACGTAAAAGTTGAGGTGTTTGCTGGTGAAACGCGTAATCTTACCGCCGAGCTTGGACTTGGAAGGTCTCAGAAAGTTTGGAACATTGACGCTATTGGAAAAGCTTCTGGCTCTTTTGCGGAGCGTCGTGGTCTGCACCTTTGGAGCGGCAGCAAAGACTTCCTTTGCATCCTGTCCATTCTCGGAGCTGGAAGGAGGAGATGGAGTGGTGCCTGCTAGCGCATGCTCTCCCGACTCTTCATCCACCACGGCGTACTCTGGTACCACACTGCGATTGTGGGAGCCCAGCTCCAGCTGGGCTACGTCTTGGGTTGTTGTCATGCCTGCGCAGCCTCAGATTGCACCAGAGCTCTCGGGCTGGCGTCTGCAAGCTATACGACGCCGGGTGGCACCTCAGCTCGGCCTAGTACTTGCTCGTGTTGGCGATGTAGGGGTAACGACGAGATGCCCCAGACAGCACTGGAGATCGCAGCAGGATGGATTGTGTGTAAAGTAGATGATGCGCGATTCAGACAGCTGTCGCCACTGAGACTCTAGGATGCTGGATGGTCTCGTCGCGTCGCGTGCGCATTGCTCATGGGAACAGCGATGGCGCAGTGTTGGCAGGCCAAAGCAAAGCCAGGCAGGGGCAGAAAGTGCAAAGGTGAGATGCGGATGTCGAGGATGTGATAGAGTGTCAGAACATGGTAGCGCAGTAGAAGGGTGTCAGTCACCGAAGATGTGGTAGGTGACGCGAGTAGATGTATGTAAGGGGATGTATGTGCACGAGCGAGCTGTGAACAAGTGGTGCGTAGCTGTTATGCAATGTTTAGAAATCAAGGTCCTTCGTGCAAGCGGGAGTTGCATGTGTGAGGCACGGGACGCTAGGCGGTGCTGGGGAGCGCGTGCGATGCACCAATCCATCCGAATCAGTAAGCCATCCAACTCGTGAATCAAGAATCTTGAATGCGTGATTGGCGAATGAAGATGCGTGCAGGGCGTGACCCACTCAAACTGTTGTGTTCTTGATCTCGCTTCTATAAGCAGCTACGCAGGCTTTTGGCGTACCACCAGCGCTGTTTGGAAAAGCTTGTCAGTCAGGCACGTGCCGGCGATTGCAAGGTTGGATAGGTAGGCACCGGTAAGCGAGCCTTTTGGTCGATCGCTATGACTGAACTGAGACCTGATTTGTTTTTTTTTGTTTTTTTGGTGTAAGCATTGATCATTGGTGCTTTTGATTTGCTGCTGCTGCATGAACGCCTTTAAGATTGACGTGTTAAAGTTCCTCTGATTCTATCGAGCTCTCAAAACTCACAGCTCCTATTGAATCACGAATCACGAATGTTCAAATTCAAATCTATGGTTCCTCGCGGGCGATCGTCATCCTTGCACGTGCGGCCACACGATTCGCTCGTACATGGCTGCATGTCCGGTGAGTGACTCCGCGCTATCATCGCCACCGCGTTGCGTGCGCATGTAAATAATCAGCCGCGCTTCTCTATTGATTCACACTCCACCGACTCACGTCCTCGCTCAAATCTGCTGCCAGCGTTGAACTGGAAGCTGTCGGCTCGCCCACCTGAACAGCGTCACAGGACAGAGGCTCAATGGTCACCAAACCAAGACTGCAAATCGAAGCACCATCGATGGTTGTTGCGCCAATAACTACAAGACCATCGAGAGGCATGCGGAGGTGAAGCGGCCGCACGTACGCAGGCTGCTCGCTCACCATCGCAGCGACGATGATGGGCAGCAAGGCTTATCGGGACGAGCCTTGCGACAATGTCACCTGTCTGCGAGCTGGAGACCAGTCTTCGACGAGTTCCGCAGCAGCGGCTGAAGGAGTCGAACCTCTCATCGAACAGCTCATGAACACATCGCCACCAAATGTCTCCACCAGCACGCTCTCTGGTCCTGCGCATTCTCACTCTCGCCCATCCAAGGAATGTGACGCTGCTTCACCACGATCCGAATCTGACTCTCCTACCTGCTTGATCTGTCTCGAAGATCTTCGTCATGGGCATCACCGCTTCGAGTCGCTCAATCTTCCACAAAAGCCGGCGTTGGCTGGTGCGGACCCACGCATCGCAAACATATCGAGCGCGGATCGCATCGACGGGCGAGTACTTGTAGGACGTGAAGATGTTTACGAGGCAGAAGCAGCATGGCAGAGGCAAAGGATTGTTCTGCCTCGCTGCGCTCACAGTCTCTTCTGCTTGGGCTGCATCATCAAGTGGCAAGCAACAACGAGCAGCAAGAGTCGTTCGGACGATGCGGCGCATCAGCATTCCGCCAAGTGTCCCCTGTGCACGCGAGAGATTGGTCCATATGTCCTGTACGACATTCGAGGAGCTGAAGAGTATTCAAGATACTGGTTCTCCCCCAAGCAACAAGATGAAGAGGAGAGCACAAGACCTCGGCTGCGTGCACCTGCCAGTGTGTCGAGACATAGCGTGAGCAGCGTCAGACCACCGCCCGTGCAGCGCAGAAGAAGGCTCGCACAGCAGTCCTGGGGAGAAACCAGTCAAACTTCCGAGAGCATCTTGGAGCGCGGCATTGAGAGGCGCAAGAACGTGTATGAGATGAATCTTTGGGCACTGGTAAGTTGATCACGCCGCCGTCCTCTCATGGATGCGATGAGGAAGCGTGTTGTAAGCAAGACTCGTTTGCTAAATTCAAATGCACGTCTTTGTGCTGCAGCATGTGGGCGCGAACAAGAAGAGCGCCTTTGGTCCTCCTCCATCTCCATCGCAGATCAACGAGAGTGGGAACCATCAGAGACGACTGCGCGCCTGGTTGGAGCGAGAGTATCAAGCTCTGCCGATGATGGGTCTCAGCTTTGGCCCTGGTCGAGGGTCCAAAGCGCTTCACTCGGCCCCTTCAGCAAGTCTGGATCGAGGCACTACAAGTGCAGATCATTCTTTCTTGTGCACGTACACTCTCGCCATACTTTGCTCCGTACCGGCAAAGTCGGACGAGGCGATCAGACTGTTGAGCGAATTTTTGGGCGTGCAGAGGGCACAGCATTTCCTTCATGAGACCAACGCATTTATGAGATCGGCCAGGGATGTCGCCAAGTACGATGCGGTGGTTAGGTACGCTCTTGCTGGCGTCGTATGTGGACTTTCTGAGCTCCGAGTCGACAAGCGCACACGTCAGGTCGGCAAGGTTCTACTTCATCCTTTGCCCGTCATGCTGCGCGTAACGGATGGTGGCTTTCTCAGTGATACACAGCACTTGACAAGCGGCGATGTCAAGGGCAAAAGGCGGAGAGTGGATCCTGAAGACGAAGCAGGCTGCTGGAAGTTGGGCATGGAACATGAACCTCCGTTCGTGCAATCGCGGCGCAGAACGCATTCTCGTGAAGGCGCGTTGAGACGGTGCTCTAGTACAGACCCGCCGCCGACAATGTTCAAGGAGCTCCTCGCATGGGATGTCTGCATGCCAGAGGGCTCCAGACAAGCGAACAGTCAGACGATTCTGCGCAAAGCACCATCGAGTTCTTCGCGCCAACCGGTTCCGGATGTCGACGTTGATGGGCGGCAGGCGGCGCTGCTCGTCGAACTTCACTCGAAGGAAGCGCCGCGCAATCTTTCAAAGCACGACATTGGCGCGCGTCGTGAGATGCTTCTCAAGAGGCTCATGAGGGAAAGAGCCATCGGATTCCAATCTTGGCGGGACAAGGGGCCCGTCGACCTCGGTCAGCCATCGCGCGAGAGTTCTGGAGATGCGTCAGCGGTGCGTACAAGCGCCTCAGCGGGACTGCACGACGAGACGAGCATGACAGAGCCTCCGCTGGTCCCTCCGGGTTCTGCCAAATTCCACGAGCCTCAGCTATCCTCTGGCTCGTCGATGGGTGGAGCAGCTCATCAAGATGTTAGTGCGAAAAACAGCTCCGATGCTGCGAGAGTTAGCCCCTCCGAAAATTTGAATCGGCTAGACCTCGAGCAAGCCCTCAGGAAAAGGGCGTCAGAGGCCAGACTTCGACACGTACTGCTCTCTCGCCAGAGATCTGTCAGGCTGAGTTGATGCTGGTCCTGCATCTGTCGCAGCTTTGTATATCATGATGAGGTTTATGTGTGCAGGTAGGTGCCCTTTTCATGTTTCATCTGCACTCTCATTGGTAATGACGTCGATTTGTAACACAACATGAGCATGGAGGAGGCATCATTAGAGCAATATATACAGTCAAGACTTTCATCACCGGTACATCGAGGACTTTGTGGGAAATGTGTCAGATAAGCCCTCGTGAACGTCGACGAGCGCGCCTAGATATGGAAAGCTGGGGCATTGTCAAGGATAAAACCAATCTCCTGTTCTCTATAAGTGTCCTCGATGATCGTCGTGTTGTATGTTCCTTGCACCTGCAGCAATCGCTTAGACTGCGCATCGTATCGAGGCCATTTGGGAGCTCGACCAAGTAGGTTTTTGCCGTTGGGGTTTCCTGTATGAGCGAAATGGACGAGGGCGGAAGAGAAAATGTCGGATTGTCGATCGAGATCCTTTTGAGATGCGTACTTGACCAGAGCTGCGGAGGAGGATGGAGGTGCTGCTTTGGGCGTATTGCTGTACAGGAACGGAATGTCCGAACCGTGCGGAATTCCCAAAAAGGGACCGGTCTGAGGACCGGGCAGAACGTATGTAGGGGATGGCAGAGAAAAGAGATAGCTGTATACCGCAACGCCTGATTCGCTGGCCGCTTGGATTTGCTGACGACGACCTGCTTGGAAGAGCAAGTCGCCCTCTGCTGCAGATGTTCTCTTCCACTGATGAGCAGGACCAAAGAACCTGTCGTCCGGCGACGCTCCCACCAATTCTGGTCTGAATGGACTCCCCACTTTTGGCTCGTCGGGGTACAGCTCTGCGATCTGTTTCAGCACAGCTTCATCTTGTACCTTGTGCAAATTTGCAATCCCAGCAAGAAAAGTGGTGGTGTTTGTGTTGCCCTTCAGATTCAAACTAGCAAAGAGCGTTCCTTCGTCCAGAACGTCTCCACTGATGATTGGAACCTTTGCGAATTTGCCATGGGCTAGCTGCGACGATGGCAGCTCAGATACAAACTTGCGATCCAGAACTGGAACAAAGAGCTGCGCAAATTTGGCAAGGCTGATGGTATCAGTATCATATAAGGGCGTCATCGATAGGGACACCAAACTCACTGCACCTCCACCGCTGAGCGCAATAGCAGCTTGCTCAAGGCTGGCAGCGTCGACTTTCCTGAGGCAGTCCACACTATCTGCAGAATTGACATTTGCCATGGCACAGCCGAGCATCTTCAACAAAGCGCCGTAAGCTTGTGTGGCTTCGGTCGACGTCGGGCTAAGTCTGGGGGCTGTTGCTTGAGAGCCGCTCTCCAAAAAGGCGTTGTGGAAGCAGCCTTTGCAATCTTTGCCAACGTCGCCTTCGTCTGCTAGCAATTGAGCTGCCACACCGTTGGCGCCGGAGGATTGACCCCAGATAGTGACCCGATCACGATCTCCTCCAAAATATTCGATGTTATTTTGAATCCATCGAAGGGCTTCTCGTTGATCGTAGTAGGCTGCGTTCAGAGCAGCGCTTCCTGCTTTGTCTGCAGCAGACATACCGGGCCCTAGAAGATTGCCGAATACACCGAGACGAAAGTTCATGGCCACGTGGATGATAGGCTCGCCCAGCTTGAGCGAGTGCTGGATCAAGTTTGCGGGGTCGTAGTTGACCTGCGAGAGATCATAGCACTTCTTTTGCGTTAGCTCAGTGACCGCGGAAAATCCTTCTGAGCAAAGGGACAGTCTCACCGCGGAGCTGCCGCCATCTTTCCAAGATCCACCGTGAATGAACACCAAGACGGGGAGCTTTTTGCCGACGGTGCGGACAGCGGGTCGTTGAACGTTGAGGTACAAACAATCTTCTGAAAAGTTGACTCTGCCTCTGAACGTTTCATTGTTCGTCTGGATGCAGAGGTTGCCAAATTGCTTTGCTGCTCGCTTTTCATCGCCTTTGTACGCTTCGAGAGGTCGCGTCTGCTGAAAACGCAGCTGGCCCAGCGGTGGAGTCGCGTAAGGAATGCCATAAAATTGATCTTGACCCGTCGTCTTGTTGAAAGTTCCTACAAAAGTGCCTTGCGAACGGGTGTGCACCTCTACATCGTTTCCAAATTCCGTGTCTGAGCTGGAGTCGGAGCTGCTGCCGCTGCCGCTGCCAAGCGCGCTAACGTGCGGCTCCTCTTCTCGAGAGGTAGGCAAGGCGCGCGCAAGGCAGGCTATCGACGCGATGCTCAAGCAGAGGAGACCTGCCTCGGTCAAGCGTACCATTGTAGACTGTTGGAAATGGGCAAGGGGTGGATTAGGGGGCCAAAGGAACTGCTAGGGAGAGATTGTCCCAGGATCGCAGACACACCAAGCCGCTTTATAGGGGCCAAATCCAGGGGGAGCTTCACACCCTCGAGGCATAGTTCGCTGTCGAGCCACGGCAGTCGTACGCACCTATTCCACCGCAGCGCCAGCATAGGCACTCGGTGCTGCGAAGAGACGCAGAGCAAAATGCATACTCCTTTCCTTCCACCTTCCAGACTAATGTCGCGTAGACCGAGTGACTCGTCTGCTCGCCGTCTACGCACCAATCAAAGTCTGCAAGGGGACCCCGCGCAAGCGGCTCAGGCTCCCTCCGACCACGCGGTCCGCCGCCGCTTGGCGCAATTCGCATGAGATCCCTGCATCCCGCATCGATCAGCAACAGAAGCAGGGCCTGAGCGTGATCATGTGAAGTTCCCAAGCAACCCCGATCTTTAGCCATGGCACAGCATCTCTTGAAGCAAATCGCATTTGAGGCGAGCATGACACCTGAGTGTTCCGCGTCGGATACAAGGTAGCCAGGTCGAATGACGGTATAGCGGTACCGAGAGGGGTACGCGCGCGTCAGGGCCTGATGCTCTCGGCCGGCGCGTGCTGCATATATGCACGCGTACCTCGAGCTCGAACCGGCCGCTCCACTCGCCGGCATCGCGTGTGTGGCTGCTTCATGTGCAACCTTCAATGCCGATGCATGGGCCGCGTGGATCTGTGCACTATATAGCGGACAAATGCGGCCACGCCCTCGCATGATCGACAAGCGGAGGTGTCCTCGCATGATCAATAAGCGGAGGCAAGGTTCGAGCGTTTACATATTCGCGGTCACGAGTGGTCTGCCTTCCTAGCCGAAGGTTCCTCTTGGATCAATCAGACTGCGCAAGTGCGCGCCGACAATCCGCAAGATTGAGCTGGTGTTGTCGTGGCCTGTGCGCCGACCGTCGCGTCAAACGACGACCGTGGGTGCTGCTGTTCATGCCTCGCTTCTGACGGGCGAGGAAGGAATTTGTTATACATTCGTGGTCATTAGGTCTAGTCGGCGAGCATGTCGTGGGTTACAAGCGTATCTCCACAGGTCGGATAGGGACCCAAGTGGACTACTATCTGTTCATGAAACTCTCGAAGAGGAAAGCCTGCTTTCCCTCCCAAATGAACGCGCACGGTGTCCGGGTTATCGCTGAGACAAGTCCCTCGATAATCTTCTGGTGTTGACAGCACTGCCGTTGGATCTGCCTAGTGAGGCAGCGAGCCTCATCATCGAGTTGTGAGCAGTTCGAGGGGTAGAGCTCGCTGGAAGACGCGAGAAGGCACCCGACGCTCGCCTGTCGTCGGGACTATCGCTTCTGAGTCGCTGGCGTGATGCCACAGGCGAGACTGCGCCGTCGACGTAGTGGTCTGTACCTAACGACAACTCGTCGCTCGGACGAGAGGAGCTGCTCAAGATGAACTCGCGCGACGTTCCTTCGTCTGCGGATGTGAGACGCCTCGCTGATGGCGAGTCAGGCCCGTTGAGTGTCCCGCGTAGCCCATCAACGGTGTTCCTACGGCTCAAGGACTGGTCGGCCAAGCTGCTCGGATCGCTGGCGATCTGGCGAGAGTTGACAAGCGAAGTGTCGGGAGATTCAAAGCCTCTAGACCCTGACGGGGACATGGAGGGCACCTGATCGCGTCGATACAACACAGACGGCCTGTTGCTGTCACCTCGAGCAGGGCCAAAGTCCACAGCAGCGTTCGTGCTGTTGACCGCGGGGAAGCTCAATCGCGATCGTCGCGGGGAAAGACCGGTAGGGCCAAGAGAAGGGCGCGAAGACTCAGCAGTGACTGTGGCGTTGCTCCTCTCTCTTTCCCTCTGAGCACGCTCAAGGGCGCGGGGCGAGTCGTCAAAAAAGTTCGAAGCCTCAGAGGCGGCGCGACCATGTCCGGAGCGATCGCGGATCGACGCAAAACGATCCTGTAAGCGAGTGCCTGCCTGGCTTTCCAAAGGTGAAGTGACACGAGCGTGGGGTGTAGCGCCTTGACCGGGGCGCGCCCCAGCCAGTGTCGGAGATGGCGCGAAGCTCGATGAATTTGGGGAGGCCAATTCAGTTGCATGGCGTCGATGGGATCGGACGCGCTGCATCTGCAGCGAATCTATGGTTCCGCTCGCTGATGAATGCTCGCTTCTGTCGTCGCTATGCGCACTTGGAGGCACTTCGAGACCAGACCCATGTGAGCTAGTATGGAAATTCCTGCCTGGTTGGGCCGCCGAGGCTCGATCGGGCCGCAATGGGCTTCCTCCGGTCCCAAGGCTAGAGATCCTAGAGCCAGGTCGACCAACGCTTCCGTTCTCACTTGCCAGCTTACGAACAGCATCTCTCTCCCTCTCTGTTCGAGCGAAGTACACCAGGCTATCTGTAAGACTTCTGACTTGCTCATCGCTCTTTGCACGAAGCTGTATCAGGCCTTGCTCAAGGAGTGAGAAAGACTGTGCCGCAGACATAAGTGCTGTACTGCCACCTCCCCTCTCGGCATCGATGTGAGCTTGAAGAGCAGCATCCCTAAGAACTTCCAGCTCCGCGTTTATGCACGCGGCAGTATCCGTGACGTGCCTGAGACTCAGCACTAAACTCATGGACTCGGGATAGCGTGCGATGGGCGCCGCCGAAGTCGATGAGCTGCCAGAAAAATAGCGCTCAAACATCGAATAAGCGCTGGACAGATTCTGCTCGTGCGATGATCCTGATGGGCTTCGCCATGTATTTGACGCGCTGCGTGAAGAGCTAACGTCGCCAGAAAAAAATCTGTCGGTGGTTGGCAAGATAGCGGATTGAACATCTCGAGTCCGCCCAATGGTCCCATTAGAGTTTAAATTAGGCGTCCGAGCTGGTCGATTACCCATATCGAGCGACGCATGCCGAAAAGGAGCCTCTTGCATCTGGCCAGGTTCTGCAAATGTTGCTGCCCTCTCGTGGTTGGCAGCACGCCTCCTCGGTTCAGTGTACGCAGCTCGCGAAAATCCTTCCAGCTCCCGCGACATGTAGCCCGATCTAGAGCTAGGACGAGCAGAAGCACGACTTGAAGTGCGCGAAAGGGGGCGGGACTTTGACGGCACGTCACGATGAGCTTGTAGTTGGCCACAGCAGCGCTCTACATGGTCCACACTCACCTGTTCTGGGCTTGTACGGTCAAGCGAGCCTGCGGCGCCGAATCCGAGCTGACGGAATTGCTCTTCGCGCACACGCAAGGCTCGGTCTCGTTCGTAGGAGATCGGACTCCTGTTCTTGTGAGGCAGGGGAGGCATTCCAGACGCGTCGAACACGTCCGTGCCTTGGGCTCGAAGGACGCTGGCTCTAGAGACAGAACGCAGCAGATCCGAAGCTCCACCTGAAGACCTTTGAGAGACGGAGCTGGACGTAGAAATTTTCCGTTGGCGTGCCATTTCGCTTGGAGAGAAGCTTTGGTCTGGCAAGTCTCTGCCTTGCGTTTGCGCCGAATTATCGGTTCTGCCCATTTCAATGTCCGCTTGGGCGGATGCAGGCCATCCACGCCCGAGGTGTCTGGAGGCAGAGGACGAATCGACAGAAAGGCGACTACTCTGAGTTCCAGCCCTTCCGGAATAGTCGCCCGTAGGAATGTCGGAGCTCGCATCCGACATGTAGCGGCGGCGCGAGCTACGTGAGACGCCTGAGGCATCTGCAGAGCTAGGATGTCGGAGTTGGCTGCCGTCCATGATTCTGCGTTCATCAGATGTGTCAGCTTCAGGCTCGCCAGTGTCCTCTACGCTGGCGAGCGAATTGCTCCGAAAGCGGGATGACATGCTTGAGCGCCTACTGAAAGATGAAGTGTTATCAGCTCGAAATTCGCTTGGCAGGGCAGCGCGTCCGGCGGACCTTCTCGCCGCCGTCGAGCTTGGTGGGAAAGCGTGCTGGCTCCGCGGCAGTCCGTCCCCTGAGCTTACAGAGCCTAGCCGCGGGCTCATGTAGTGTCTTGACCCTTCCAAGTCCACGCTCGTCCGCACCGTATGACCCGTAGAGGTTGCGGGCCTCTCATGTGGCTCGTTTGACTGACGATTAGAGCGCGAAGCTCCCTTGCTGGAAGCGCTGGCGGAAGAACTCTTCTTTCTTCTTCGCTGGCCCCGCCCGTTGACCGAGCTGCCAGCCCCTTCCGTGCCCGAGGTGTCTGTCGCGGTGCTGCTTTCCCCATCTTTTCGCGCAGCAGCCCTACGCGAAGTCTCGCCTGCGCGCCCTGGACTTGCGTGAACGTCGTGGGGCCGCACAGTCTGACTGAGTCGATCGACGTCCGAGCCAGATACGTCGTCTTCTTCATTTTCCACATTTTCATCAGTTCTCCTCCCTAATCGCGACTCTGATCTCATCTGCTCGAGCTCTCGTTCTCGCATTTCACTGCGCCGCAAGCGTTCAGTGTGCGCTCCGCCCGTGTCACGGAGTGAGCCCGGCTCGGCTTGGCGCTGTATCTTCGTGTCTCTGGCGTTGGACAGGCTGTCGATGGGATGATAAGTGGCAGTCCGAGAGTTGCTTCTGCTATCAGAGCCCTTTCGGATGGTGTTTGTGGAAGCGCGATGCTTGAGCATAGGGCTCGATCCGTTGGAGGATGACTGTGCATGCGGCGTGAAAGCGTTTCTGATTGTCAGTCCACATGTCACAGACTGCATACACGCGAGGACTCGAGCTTCAGAGCACCTACCTGAGAAAGCTCGCGGGCGTGCCTCGAGATGCCAGGAGCGCTGCTAGGATTGTTTGGATCGCGAGCGGATCCGCCAGACGACGCAGACGTTGTCGAGCTTCGAGGCTGCAGGCTCGGACGCACTGTTTGTCGCGTGCCCTGCTTGCCCATTGTGCCTTGCGAGCTCCCGGTGGATGGTGTAGACGAGGTCGATGACTTTCGAGGCGTGACATCGAAATCCTCCGTTGCGCTGTCCTTGACCTCTCGCATCAAAATCGAGGCAGCATTGGGTCTCGCCGATGCCAATCTGCTGAGCTGCGGTGTTGCTTGGCTGATAGCATTTTCGGGTAAGGAGCTCTTCAATAATGTGCGCTCTGATGCGCGCTTTGTTGAAGGAGCTCGCTTAGGTGTGCTTGTGCTCTCGCCTATCGTCGCGTCGCTCGCCTGCCGCGACATGCTGCTGGAAGACGCAGCACTCATGGTCGGGGGCTCCCAGCAAGCCACACGCAGGCAAAGCTGGAAACGTCGAGAGTCAAGCCGTCCCGGTCTGAATATATCAGTGCGCTGCCATGTCGGCCGACAACAAGCTCAGCGAAGCGGCCGACGACGATGTTGGATCCAGAGAACGAGATTGTAGTGATGGAGGAGCTGCGCGAGGCTTGAGCCAGCGCTACGTGGATGGTTTGGACGCTGCTCACGAATAAGCGGGCTCGTGCAGGCTTGTCGAAGCTCGAGGTTCGAGAGGCAGGGTGGACGGAGGAGGTTGACGACGAGTGCTACTGACTGTGGTTCTGAAACAGATGGAGGCCCCCTTGACCGCTGAAGGTCGGCACGAAGCATGCAGGCGTCTCCTAGGTGGGTGCACGCTAGCTCTTCACGGGTGCTGTGGTACGCTTAGACGCGCAGGTCGCCGTCGCCTTGCAGGAGCAGCACGCATGAGCGACGCTTTTCTGGTGCGCGCGGGTGATGCGCTCCAGACTGTGGACTTCTCCGCCGCCTGCTTCTCGTACGAGAGCTACAACTCGTATAGTAAAGGAGCGTAAGTCAAAAATCACGAATGTCGCCGTCGAAAGCGGCAACGAGACGCAGGCTTCGAGGAGCGACTCATCATACTCTATGTCGCTATACCCAACAGCAGCACCGCGCTTTCGGCGCAACAAGCTGACCGCCTTCTGGTTCAAATCTCGGCGATCATTCGCGCAGACTAGTCCTCCAGGAAGGTGGTGCTGCAACTTCAAAGGTGAGCTGCCCGGCGTGACTCCAAACCTTCGCAGGTCGTCGTGCCAGTATAGGATGAGATACAGTATATAGAGTCAAGCACGGACGCAACAAAGCGCTGGCGACAACGTACAAATAGCCTGGTGCTTCAAACACACCTTGCCTGATGCTGCACCGGGAAGTCTCATGTGACCCAGCCAAAGAGAACCGAGCCTGACCGGGCGTGCACAAAGCATGCACGAGGCAGAGGCTATTTCCCTCCTCGCCTGGTGGCTTACACGCGCTGACGCTGCGGCATTTTCTCTCTCACTCGGACTGTTTATCAGCTTTGAAGCACCTTGTCCGCAGGCTTGGTCGTTCTCAGGCGCAGTGATCTACCACCGCCCTGTGCTGCGCTCAGGGCCCACGCGCGATGAAGGAGCTCGTGTGAGTCAGCGGCCCACACGCGAACAGCGTCAGCCGCTGCGATGCTGACCCTGCACTTCTGCTTTGCAGCGTTCAAGATGCGCCCAAGCGCATCAAGCACATCCAATTTGGTGTGCTCTCGGCGCAAGAAATCGTCAACGTCTCCGAGCTAGAGCTTTTAACGAAAGATCTTTATACGGTGACGGACAACCCTATCGCGTCTGCAACAGGCTTGCCAGAGAGAACCCCTGCTGAAAATGGACCTCTAGATCGGCGCATGGTGAGAGGAGGAAGATCAGCTGCGTTGCTGTGCGGCTTGGCCTTCCTGGTTGAGAGGGATGGCTAACCCGTCTCGTTTTGGTTCCGTCATCTTCCACAGGGTGTATCCGACAAAAACTCATTGTGTCAGACGTGTGGTTTGAAGAACGCGGACTGTGTGGGTCATTATGGTTACATTCGGCTCGTGCTGCCAGTCTTCCACGTCGGCTTTTTCAAGCACGTTCTAGCCATCTTGCAGTGTATATGCAAGGTGAGTTGCTCTCGCTTCTCACCTCTGATAGGAAGTGGACTTACACATATCTGTTGGCTAGAACTGTGCAACGGTGCTCGTGAATGAGCAGATGAGGCGAAGGTTCCTGAGAGCCTTTCGGCGCCCCGGGCTGGAGAATTTGCAGCGTACGACTACCTTCAAGGCGGTGAACAGCGCAGCGCGAAAGGTGCTGTACTGCCCAAGATGCGGAAGTACAAATGGCGTTGTCAAGAAGAGCGGTACCTTAAAGATCACACACGAAAAGTACCGCCAGAAGAAGACTGAATCGGAGCGACAAGCTTTCGAGAAGACCTTTGCTAGCAACGTCGAGATGAGCGGCACTGGCCCTGGAGACGTTCGACCGCATTTAAAAAGGGCTGCAGAGGACCTGAATCCTCTCCGGGTGCTAGAGCTGTTTAAAAGGATTTCGAGCGAGGTAAGTCACGCTCGCAGGTGGCGAGGGACAATCACCTCACTGATGTTCCTCATGTTGGCAGGACTGCGAACTTCTGGGCCTTCGACCGGAGTATGGTCGTCCTGAAGAATACATCTGGCAGTACATCTGTGTACCGCCTGTTTGCATTCGTCCCAGTGTAGCGCAAGAAGGCGCGACCAACGAAGACGACCTTACTGGCAAGCTTGGAGACATAATTTTTGTCAACCAAGTCCTTAAGCTTGGACTTCAACCTGGCGGCAAAGGCACCACGACTCAGAATCTAATTGAGCAGTGGGATACTTTGCAGACCTGCATAGCTGTCTACATCAATTCAGAGACGCCGGGAATTGCAGCGGCTGCGAACGCAAAGCCTATCAGAGGGTTCTGCCAACGACTCAAAGGCAAGACTGGACGCTTCCGTGGTAACTTGTCTGGGAAGCGTGTCGACTTCTCTGGGCGTACCGTCATCAGTCCAGACCCGAACCTGAAGATCAACGAGGTGGCAGTTCCTGATCGGGTGGCCAGAATTCTGACATTCCCGGAAAAAGTATTCGCCGGCAACATCGATGAGCTCAAAGAGGCTATCCTCCGCGGCTCAGAAACGCATCCGGGCGCCAACTTTGTCATTGATGTCAAAAGTGGCTTCAAGCGCATGCTGAGGTCTGAGGGTGCGCGAAGAGCATGTGTCGCTTCGCTGAAGATTGGCGACATTGTCGAACGGCACATCAAGGATGGCGACATCGTTCTGTTCAACCGGCAACCTTCGCTTCATAAGCTCTCAATCATGTCGCACAGGGTCAAGGTCCGTCCTTGGCGCACCTTTAGGCTCAACGAATGTGCTTGCAATCCTTACAATGCCGACTTCGACGGTGACGAGATGAACATGCACGTTCCGCAAACGCAGGAAGCCCGGACAGAGGCGACGGAGTTGATGGGCGTGCAGCACAATCTCGTAACTCCCCGCAACGGAGAGCCGATCATCGCCGCCATTCAGGATTTCATCACGGCCTCATTCCTCATTTCGCGGCGAGACCGGTTCTTTGACAGGAAGCAATTCTCGCAGATATGCTCCTACTTCGCAGACGCTGATCTGCACATTGATCTGCCTCCTCCAGCGATCATCAAGCCGCACTGCCTGTGGACCGGTAAACAAGTCTTCGGCTGCCTCATTCGGCCGAATAAGAGCTCGCCACATCTGGTCAACCTTGAGGCGCAATGTCGGACTTTCGAGAAGCCGAAAGATGGACACATCAGAGATATGTCGCCAAACGACGGCTGGCTCGTCATCATCAACTCGGAGGTCATGTGCGGTGTGATGGACAAGAGCACCGTCGGCGATGGCAAGAAGAACAGCGTCTTTGGTGTCCTTCTGCGAGACTACGGCACCGAAGCTGCGATCAGCGCCATGAATCGACTCGCCAAGACTTGCGCTCGTTGGCTTGCCCAACAAGGATTCTCTCTTGGCATCAACGATGTTATGCCCGGCGAGCAGCTGCGCAATACGAAAGATTCGAAAGTAGAAGCTGCTTACGCCGAGTGTCTCTCGCTCATCCAGAAGGCCAAAGTGGGCAAGCTCGACAATCTTCCGGGATGTGACCAGGAGCAGACACTAGAGAACATGATCTCCGGTGTCCTCAGTGGTGTGCGTAGCGATGTAGGTGAAATCTGCATGACAGAACTGAGTCGCCACAATGCACCACTCATCATGGCTGTTTGTGGCTCGAAAGGTAAGTGCGGCAGATATGGTACGCTCCATGGGGCTGAAGCTAACCCCCTCTTCTCATCGATGCTACAGGGTCCAAGATCAACGTCGCCCAGATGGTCGCATGTGTGGGACAACAAATTATCAGCGGCTCGCGTGTTCCGAATGGCTTCCAGGACCGTTCGCTGCCGCACTTCGCCAAGAAATCGAAAGATCCGCCAAGCAAGGGTTTCGTCCGTAACAGCTTCTTCTCTGGTCTCACACCGACCGAGTTTCTGTTTCACGCTATTTCCGGTCGTGAAGGTTTGGTCGACACTGCCGTTAAGACAGCAGAAACCGGATACATGGCGCGACGTCTCATGAAGGTGAGTGGTGTACGCACAACATCAATGTTAGTATTTTATTGAAGCTTTTGAAATCCCACCTCAATCAGGCCTTGGAAGATCTCTCAACACATTACGACTTGTCTGTACGCAACTCGGTAGGCGGCATTGTCCAATTCGAGTATGGAGACGATGGACTCGATCCGGCAGAGTTGGAAGGCAAGAAGCTGCCAGTCGAGTATCTGCGCACTTGGCGACACATCAAGGCCATCACTTTGGACCCAGCAGCCCCGGGACTGCTACCGTACGAGATCACTGAGATGGTCGAAAACGATTTGAGTTCGAAGAGGTATGCTAAAACGACGAAGCTGTATCAAGACGAAGTTGCGACCTTCATGCAGGGCATTGCAGAGAAAGCAGCTGCCATTCGAGGAGCGCACGGCTTGTACCCTGCTCTGATCAGAGAACCAGAGTACGAGGATGCCGACCTCACAATGGGTGCCAGCGTATATGCGATCGCGGCGGTGGACAATCAGACGAAAGTGACCAAAACGGCTTTGGAAGCGTTCATGGACTTGTGCTTGTCCAAATACGCAAAGGCCAAGATTGAGCCCGGTGAGCAATCAATAGCTTGCCTGACGGCACATGCGGGTAGACTGACAGTTTCTTTTCTCTTGCAAAGGCTCTGCGGTCGGTGCGGTCGGTGCACAGTCGATCGGTGAACCTGGTACTCAAATGACCCTCAAGACGTTCCACTTTGCCGGTGTCGCCTCCATGAACGTCACTCTGGGTGTACCACGTATCAAGGAAATCATAAATGCTGCCAAGATCATCAACACTCCGATTATCACTGCGGCTTTGGTGAACAACCAGTCTGAAACCTCCGCACGCATTGTCAAGGGTCGCATTGAGAAGACTTACCTGGGTGATGTGAGTGGGGGCCCAAGCTTGCGCAGCAGTATGCGTCCCACTTACCGCGTGCTCACGACGACGTTGTTCTACAGGTGGCGTCGGTCATCGAAGAGGCTTGGGCTCGCGACTACATTTATCTCGGTGTACACATCGATATGGACGCGATCAGACGCTTGCAGTTGGAGGTAACGCTTGACGACGTCCGGTGGGCAATCATTCGTGCTCCCAAGCTTAAGATCAAGGAGGAGGTGCGTCTGGCTGATATTGTGCTAAGCTTGGGCGGCGCTCACACTTCTCATGCAATGCACTACCCCTTTCAGAGCGTCTCCGTGATCCCACAGCGCAGCCGTATTCGTATCCATCTGGGCTCCGCCGATGATCGCGAGGAGACATTTTACCGTCTCAAAGCGCTAAAGCGAGTCCTTCCAAAGGTCGTCATCAAGGGCATCCACACAGCTCAGCGCGCGGTCATCAGCGACGATCAGGGCGAGCGCAAGCTCCTCGTTGAAGGCTACGGCCTCCGTGACGTGATGACCACCGAAGGCATTATTGGCACCCACACCTCGACCAATCACGTCAACGAGATGCAGATGGTCCTCGGCATCGAGGCCGCACGCAAGTCCATCTTTGAAGAGATCAACTATACTATGTCCAGCCACGGCATGAATATCGATCCTAGACATGTCATGCTTCTTGCAGATGTCATGACGTACAAGGGCGAGGTGCTAGGTATCACCCGATTCGGCGTAGCGAAAATGAAGGATAGTGTCCTCATGCTGGCAAGCTTTGAGAAGACGACTGACCATCTCTTTGATGCTGCCCTCTTCGGCAAGACGGACTCGATCCAGGGTGTTTCGGAGTCGATCATCATGGGCAATGCAGCGCGCAACCTCGGGACCTCGATGCCTCAATTAATCAGCTCGAAGCCCAAACTTCCACGCCGTCGCGAGCTCATCTTTGACCCATGATGGTGGGGTCCTTCCTTACGCATCGTCCAGTTCATGACCTCAACACGTTGTACAACTCCGAAGAAGTCACCCTGCAATGCAACTCATTCCTCGCGACCCACCAGTCCTTATTGTTCTTGCGGGTTCTCGAGACTGATGTGATCTTCAAAGTTCTCAGCGGAAGCAGTCGGCCGAGCTACTCGCTACCGTCGAATCAACCTGCAAGGTCTCTCCTTCTTTTCTCCATCATTCAAGCGCGCGGTGCTCACAAAGACATGAAACGTATAGCTGACGTCCAGACTCGGTCCCGCGTTTCACAAATGCATGGCGGATGTCCCGCCGTGCCGCCATGCCGAAGCTCCCACACGTAGCTAAATAGGCGCTAAGCATGGAACTTCGGATTCCCTATATGCAGCTGTGTGCATGCGACCTCGTGGTCCTTGCACGCATGAAATCAAGTTCGGCCGGAGCAAAAAGAAGGCGGCGCACGAGTCTCAAGCTTGTAGAAGGTGATCCTGATTCTCGGGGCGCATGATAGCTGATGCATGAAGCCTGCAAAATCATGCATGGGCGTCGTGGGCGTGCACATGCATATGCTGTGTCTGTCCGCATCAGCAGCTATAGCAGCATTGGGATGCCTGTTGAGGAACGGATGTCACTTGACCGCAGGGTAAAACGCTCCGCCCATTCAGGACTGCTCGCCAACCGCACCGGTCCCTCTCTAAGCGCTAAAACAAATGGACGCATAAACCAGTCAGCTAGGCTGACCAGTCTCGGTACAGCCGCCGGGACGTGACGTTGACACGAACAAAATTTGGGGCCACCGTTCGGTGAGACAGTTGAGTGATCCATGCTGGCACGAATGTGTGACACAAGTCAGCGTCTAACGGCTAGGGGAAGGTGATGAGCTTGCGAAAGGCATATAAGAACAAAAGCTGGATCTCTAAACGAGCGTTCCCTCCATATTCTCGACACGAAACACTCTCAGTACTATTACTCGAACGCGCCACCTTGCCACAATATTGAGTCTCACCCGATAGCCTCCAGCTCAGAGCATCACCACCCACCCCAACAGCGCCCCCCAGACACAAAGCCCATCTCCAGAATGTCGCAGGCTGGCGCAAGACTTATGGGAGCCCTTCCCGTGAAGGACGCTTTCTGCGGTCTATCACCCCGAACCATCGCCCTTCTCATCACACCTCTGCTGGTGATGGTCACCGCAGTAGAAGCAGCATGGGACGCCTACGTGCTCGCAGAATTTTCAGACGGTTTATCAACCTTTCGAAAGATTTTTGCCGGTCTTCAAGTCGCTTTGCTCGCCATTCTCATAGTCCTCTTCATCGCAGCTTACTTTGTCGGCGTCATTCCTAGGAAAAATAAAGTGGTCAAATTCTTGGCTCATATCGCCTTGTTGAAAGGCTTGGCTCTAGGATTGGTGGGCATCATCCACATCATCTCCGTCGTCAAGAACAAGGACGAATTTCACGACGATTGTGTCAAGAAGAATACCGAGGACTTCTGCTCAGAGGTAAGTGAGAGGACCTGCCTCCTTGGCCGCACGGTACCTTGTGCATTTGTTGACGAAGCCGTAGCGCCTGACACGCACAGCTGAACGCCATCAACATCGGGTTCGCCGTCGGCCTCATGCTCCTTCAAGAATTGCTGTTGTTCATCGACGCGCTTGGTGAGTAAGCTGTGTCTCACTCATCAATACTCCCAAGCAAGTCGTCTTGGCGCTTACGCACCCCTTCATCATGCGACGATGCTCCTTGCAGCTCTGAACTCGCTCGCAAAGCAGACCGAAGTGGTCAAGGAGTCAGACGGAGCTTACAAATATGCACAGCAGTCTCACCCTTACTCGCAACCTCAGTACGCTGGCTCGTACGCATGAGGGCTGCAGACAGCCTTGCAAGAGATCCTGAGCCCACTTGTCGTGGTACACTTGTAGATAGTATCCTTCTCTTCGTCACCTCCGGCCAAATAATACCTATACCTGACACTTGTCCTTCTTTATCGCAAGTTTGTGATCGCCTTTTGCTTTGTGTGTTTCTCAGGCAACACACCAGCGCTTGGGCTAGCATCGGTGTGGTTGGCAGGGCATTGCCGAATAATAGATTCTCGAGTCTTGAGCAGTTCGCCAAGACGCTACTTGTTTCCTTGACGCTCTTGATCCTGTCCATTGCCTTCATCATCATCATCATCATCACCCTGAGCGTAGATAGCCTTGGGTTGAGTCTTGCTCCAAGCTCCAGTCCACTGTTTGTCCTTCCCTTCCTCCTTATCCGCATACTTGAGCAAAGCCTCTCTCGGATCCTCCGTCCTGGTATTGCCGGTCCAGATACTCTGCACGACATGTTGCGTCGCAGCAGCGCCAATCCTACCTCCTTTACCAGGCCCAGCCATGGGCCTTTCCGGCATTTTGCTCGCCTGAGAATCTTGCCTCATCTTCTCCAGCCTTCTCTTTTTCGCTGCTTGGCTTGTTCCTTGCCCTCGCGATACTGCATCTCCTGCCAGAGGCGTGATGATGGGCATCTCGGCGTAGCTGTCCACCACCCTCTGCGTCTTCGCGCGCTTGCCAACGCACAAAAGTGCGCCGCGGCTCGAAATTTGAGGGTCGTAGAAGACCGAAACGCCGCCGGAAGACGTGGAGGCCAGAAGCTGATTGATCTTAGACGCCCAGTGAAGCCGGACAACAGAGTTGCCTTTCCCCACAGAGATCCGTTGGATAGGAGAAAGATCGTCTCGAGACATAACCTCGATAGCGCCGTCCTTGACCACTCGAGGTGCTTCGCCTGCTTCATTGGCTCTCATTAGTTCTTCGGAGCCTTGCGCTCTCACTACAGACGTGCCAGTCAGGATGGTCCTTTCGTCTAAGCTGAAAATGACGCTGGTTTGACCGTAATCGTTTGGCAAATTATCTCTAGTCGCCAGTGGACGTCTGAACGATCGCAAGTCCCATAGCTTCACGGTGTCGTCCCCACCTCTGGTGGCCAAGGTGTGATTGTCCCTCGAAAAAACCACGCTTGAGGTCTCGTTATTCCTTTCATGCGCATTTTCAATGCTCTTATCAGGTCGAGCTGCGTTTGTGTTGGAGCCCCATACGTGCAAAGCTCCATCGAAACACCCTGCCGCAATGGTCCTGCTGTCGTGGCTAAAAGTCATGGAAGTGACCTTCGTCCTGGTGCCGCGCTCTTTGCTTCGGACCACAATGACCTTTTGTTGTTTAGTTGGATCCTCCACAGACCATAATCTCAGCGAGCTATCTGCGCTGGCAGTGGCAAACGTGCCAGGATGGTGAGGCTGCCAAACGCAAGAAGTGACCTCAGCAACGTGGCCCTTGGTATTCTTCATGTCCCGAATATAGATATCTCCCTTGTTGAAGGTTGACAGCAAGTTGCCATCTCGGTCGAAGAGCTTCGGCTGGGGTGTTCCGCTTGCCACCAATAGTTGATCACCGCTGGCTGACCACGCCAAATCGTGTACCCAGTACGTTCCTGCCGGTTCCCAGCTCTTGAACGGGCGGAATGCTGACGTCATGCCGCCGAAATCCCACAGTTTGACGTCGTAATCGAAGCCGCCAGTAGCTACTCTGGCACCTGCATGATCCACGGCAAGAGCCGAGACTGTCTATCAGAGCCACAAGCATCCTCTTGCTCAGTAATCGAATGCATCGTTAAAGCAAAATCTCTGAATGCGGTGAGGGTGAACGCACCTTTGAGTGATCTCTCAGATCGACGGAGTCGGAAATCGGCATCTGTCCACTTCCGCCCTGTCCATCACCAGGTTCCGGTCCCAGGTCGACGCTACCATCCTCGTCACTATCATCATCCTCATCATCTCCCGCTTCCTGCCGCCGTCGATCTAATTCTCTATTCGCCGCCCTCTCCTCCACAGTCAGCCCATCGTCATCGTCATCGTCATCGTCATCGTCATCGTCATTGCCATCGTCATCAGAGGTAGCAGGTCTCTTGGCTGGTCCAATGGGCCTGCGACGCTCGCTGGTAGCGTCTTCACGCATGCCTGCTGCAGTGGGAGTATCGTACTTGAGTCCCAATGAAGGAACCACAGAGGCGGAGGCGGAGTCCTGGTCCTTTGAGCCCATGTGCGACGAGAGACTACCTCCTTTGGCTTTGCTGGCGCGCCCAAAGGACATGGGCATCATTGCCCTCAGCGCTTCTTCATCCATGACGCCGCAAGCTCACTCGGTATCAATAAGCGTTTGGTGTGCCTTCAAATGAGCCGTTAGCCCACTCTTACTGGGTGTAGGGTACTGGCTGTATGCGGCCACCTCCACCTCGAGATGAGTGGGCTAGGACGAGGAAGTATGTGGTGTCCCGCTGCCGACTGCAGATCAAGTGGATGGGCCTCGTCCCCAACCGTGCGCCTGACAGATAGCGTTGAGAAAGGGGTGAGGATGTTGCTGAGGTTGCAAAGTTGAGTGGAAGGAGCAGTCAAGTTGCGACTGTGAGTCCAGGGATGTAGCTCGATCGCGCGTCGACCAGCTTCGAGGTGCTTTGCTGCGCAGGGCACGGCTTTTCTCGGCCGGTCCGCGCGCCGGTACCAAAAAAAAAA